TGATGATGGTGATGGTGATGATGGTGATGGTGATGATGGTGATGGTGATGATGGTGATGGTGGTGATGATGATGGTGATGGTGATGGTGATGATGGTGATGGTTATGATGGTGATGGTGGTGATGGTGATGATGATGGTGATGGTGATGATGGTGATGATGATGGTGATGGTGATGATGATGATGATGGTGAGCTCTAATATCCAGATTGGTTGTGTGTCACCTGACTCACTGGTTTGTCTCCATCAGGTACAGCATTGGAGACTATGAGGTCATCGATGAAGCCACCAACAGTGTTAAAATGGACAGCTGGCTGTACCAGCTGGCCCTCAGCATGGGCTCACCTTACAGGTACAACAGCAGCGGCTCGGGCCAGTGGGAGGGCGGGCCAGGGAAGGACTCTCTGTACATCACTTCTCTGTACTTCACCATGACCAGCCTGACCACCATCGGCTTCGGGAACATCGCCCCCACCACAGACGGAGAGAAGATCTTCTCTGTGGCCATGATGATGGTGGGATGTGAGTACACCTCTGTCTGCGTTTGTTTCTGAACACAATCAGACTTTATTTAAACAGGAAGGCCCACAGACGGGTCAGAACCACTGAACCACCGTGCTGCCTGCAGCAGCTGCTCACAGAGCTGCAGCTCATTGATCAGGACATTAATGAAGATAATTTATAAAACCATGTGAACAGATGACACTGAAGAGATAAAATACTGAGGAGAGAGAAATATTTTCTGACCACATGAAGACGAGRGCACAGATGGAGCTGAATCTGCTCTCACAGGTTTCATCCAACAACTAAAGTTTCACTTTAAACAAGGTTAAATTCAGAGGATTGTCTGCAGCTGCTGGTAAAACTGGAATCTGTCTGATGGTGTAAAATGAACCAGTGGAAGAATTTAAACTCAGTAATCTGAGTTGTTTTCATTATTTTTCTCTGCTGGATGAGATTTGTGYGACAGCAGAGCAACAATATTGTTGTTTTACCTTCCAGGTGTGATGGAGGTGTGTAATCTTTTTTAATGGATCCCAGCTGATGAGTGATGCTCTGTGGTTATCTGGTCTTCAGCTCTGACAGAGTCCAGTCAGGGGCCGTGAGGGTCTTACAGCTAGTAAAAAACTCATGATAACATTATCAAAGTGTTGTGTTGCACTGTCTGACTCACAACTAGATGCACAAAATAGAAAAGTATGCTGATGTGCTTTAAACTGCCTGTCAGTATTAACCAGTAGTTTTACCAGGAGCTTTACATGTTTTCAGTAACAGTTCTCATGTGTCGTGGCCTGATGGAGTTGTGTAACAACACAACACAACACAACACCTTCAGTCAGCACAGCAGGGTGTGACTGCTGTGGTTTTAAGGACAAAGATGTTTTAGCAGCAGTTTGTTAAGCGGACAGGCAGGGGTGTGTTGAGGCTCCAGCTGRTCTACATTATTCAACACATTTTCTCTGCCTGAACACACAAACACTGCTCTGTGTTTGTGACACAATAAAACCAGCACTGCCATCACCCTGTTCTTAACACAAGAAACTAATCAGGTCACTCAGTTTCTGCACAGGATGAGAACTCTTCAGGTCCTGAGAGACCCTTCCTGTCCCTGAACCTCCAACATGTGTACATGGACCCATCACCTGAGCCTTCACATCTGGATTCTTTCTGTTTCCTTTAACTTCTCCTTAATTCATCTTACACACCCATTTCCCATCATCCTTTGCTTCATCTTGTAAAAACTACTGGAACTAGAGTCCAGACCAGAAGCCAGAAGCTGAAGTCACAAAGGATGAGCACCTCAGAGGTCCGGCTCCAGAACTGGTTTCTCCTCAGGGACTCAAACAGGTCATCATTAAACTCCAGTCTGTGAGAGAGCCTCACTTTGAAACCACATTCATTGGATCCTGTCCAGATGAGACAAAACCAGTTTTAAGATCTGGTCCAGTTCTGCTCCTCCAGTTTGTTTGAAACCTCCCAGGATCTGCTCAGCTTCACCTGCCTCCAGGAAGTGTTTGTAAGTTCTGCCAGAACGGTTCCACCATGGTGTTATCACTGCCTTCACTGTGTCGTTGTGGTGCGCTCACATTCTACATTTATT